GAATCCGACGCACTTACTCACTGGGAGGAATGAAACTGTAGGAGGGATTTTCAGGTTAGCAGTGAATCTGGAGAAAGTGCCCTCCTGGGGCTCGGGGCTGGGAGCATCCTTCCACCTCCATCCTTCCTCTCCGCCCCCTTCCTCCTCACGCTGTCACCTCATGAGGGTGCTCACCTGCCTTGTCTTGCCGGATCTGTGCAGTAACTCTGAGAACGATATGCCCATTTTATAGGTAAAGGAACTGAGGCCTCAAAAGAGTAAATATGCCCCTTCGGTCACAGCTGAGATCTAAACCAAGGGGTCCTGGTAGTTGGTGACTCCCGGTTCAGTGCTCGCACACCATTCCCTCCTGGCATCCACTTTCTCACCTCCTGAATCTGAGAGACACCCCCTCCTATTGTAAACTCCACCCTCATTTGCCCTCACCCCCCTCAGAGAGATCCCATGAAGCCTGGCAAATCCCAATTTTAAAAACTGCCAACCTGCCCGCACCCAGGCCTGCGGGCCCCTCCCTCTGCCCTGTACTCTGGGCCAGCTCTGCTGCCCTGTGAGGGGCAGGCACCCTCCACTGTGTCCTCCCGCCAGCCAGCAGCCCGAGCCCCACCTCGCTGGCTTGGGGCGGGGCCTCATGCCACGGGAGGATGCAGTGGGGCCGAGGCTGGTGGACAGGGCCTTGCCCCTCCTCACTGTTCCCTCCCTTGGACATGGAGTCCCCTGCGTACCCTCTTGGCTGCTTGATCCTTGGGTGAAAGTATGTTTGCTTCCTGCTTTGGGGAGGGTGTTGATCCTAAAAGTGACGGAGGGGTGGGGCCCAGACTCCCCAGGAAGCCAGGCCGCTTGTTCCACTGCTCCTTCTCCCACAAACAGCAAAAATCCCGAGGCTGTGCCGTTGACCGGGCATTTTCCCTGCCAGGGACCGCTCTCAGCATTCACTCACCCATTCCTCACAACAAGCCTGGGTGGGGAGGGACTGTTATTATTCCCATTTTGCACAGGTGAAAACTGAGGCTGGGAGTTAAAATTCTTGCACAAGGTCCAAACAATTTAGGGGGGGATGAATTAATTAATTCCATGTAGGCCCCGGTCTGAGCCCAAATTCAGGACTGTTACCCTCCTATGGATAGTGAATCCACCTGATAACTTAGCCTGCCTTGCAC